TAGTATTTGTGTCTGTCGGACTTTCTCTCCCCTGTCCTCTGGAGTATTGCCATCACAGCTTCATCTCTGTTGGGGGTTAGGGGAATGGCAGGTGGTTTGATTTGGTTCCTAGTCTTGGGCAGTCACCAGAGGGTGACAGGTCATCAAGAGGTATGGTTAAAGGCCTGCTTCTCCTCACTTCTAGGCAGGCTGAATGTGCTAGTGCAGGCTCTGAAACTCTGGGTTTTCTGGAATTTGCAGAGCGGCCTGTTCTGTCTGCAGGCTGAGCTGGGTTCTAGCCCTTTAGCCCAACTACAGCCCTGCCCACTCTGTGTCCACCCCACTCTCAGGGTCCTGGTAGGTAGTATATGGGTGGGCAGAGACACCATAGCAGCTGCTGATGCCTCTTCTTTCCTCTTTGAAGGATCTGTTGCTGCAACCGATGAGGGCTACTTCATCTATTAAACCCAATACACTTGTCGCAGCTGCTAAGCCCCCATAAGCCGCCGGGCGCTGTGTTTGTGATGGGACTGACAGTGCATGGAGGAGGCTGATTATACACGATTCCATTTCGCGGGCCCAGCAATGTAATTTCACAGGGCGATCAGCGTTTGCATGTAATAGCAGGCTGTGCTGAGGTGTCAGAATATTAAAGGCGCTAATGGCAAAGCTCCCTGTTACACAGGGGGCCACCCGCCGCGCCTACAGCAGGGCTATGCGGCAGGCCCGTCGCAGATGGCTGGCCACTAAGCTAATGGGGCAGCAGCCAAGGCGGGCAGAGCCACGAGAGAGGAGAGCCAGCCGGGAGCAGCTCGGCACCTGCTTCCCTGCGCATGGAAATTGCAACAGCCCATGGGAAGGGAAGCGTGCGTGCCTGCCTGGCACAGGGCTGGAGTGGGTTAGTAGGCCCAGCATCTTTCACCCCAGCCAGCTCCACCTGTCCCTGTGGCTCAGCATCAATACCTGCCCTGCTCAGGACTCAGGAGCTCCTCAGTCATCCTCCTACCTGCCCCACCCTCTGGCCAGGAACCCCAGGGGTTAGGTGCTGACTGTGCATAGCTGGGCAGTTGGACCCTGATGGCTGACAGAGGTGCAGCCAAAGAAGTGGTACTCAGAGGATTTGGAAGCAGCTTTGGGAAACAGGCTCAGGCACAAGCTCCTGAAGAGAGCTCTTAAAGCAGATTCCTGCCCCACATTGATTAAGGTCAGAAAGCTTCTGGGCCCCAAACCCTACTCCTCCAAGCTGGCACGAGAGGGAAGGGAGCAGTGAGAGGGAGCAGGCAGGATTAAAGGGATGGACACAAGGCCCCTTAATGCCATGTTGCTGTCTGGTACACAGAGTTGGGAAGCAGTGCTTTTAAGAAGTGGCTCCCCTCTAACTTGGCTGTCGCAGCCACACCCAAGCCTGTGTTGTGCTTGCCTCTGCAATTTTCCTTTGTCCTTGCTGTGCCTTCTGTCTGGAATGTTATACTCCCCTGTCATCTGTCAAACCCTCCCAACCTGCAACTGCTGCTCCCTCCAGGAAGCTTTCCTAGCCTCCTCCAATCTCACCAGGGCCTGCTTGTCTTCATTGTCTCCTGCAGGCAATCCACAGGGCTCAGCTTTGCTGATCCTCCTGTTCTGATGGGTCTCTGAGTACCAGCCTTGGCTCCTCAGCCAGAATCTCTGAGACATAGCCCATAACACCTCACCTTGAGCAGCACTCCCAGGAGTGTCTCTGCTGAGATTTGTAGAGAGATACAATCTCTTAAGGAGGGTGAATGGAGGGAGCAAGTAATGGAAGGGTGGCAGAGGCACCTGAGGGCGAGTCCAATGCATGTGTGGTGTGCCAGCATATATGCAGTTGGGCCACTCCATAGCCTGCATATCTGGTGGGGAGAGGCATGGGCTTTAGAAGTGAGTGGTGAGCACGGATGAGTACAGATACAGAGGTGCGGCAGGTGTGAGGATCCAGACCATATGTTGGCAGGAGCACAGGCTGCTGTGGAACCGTCTGTGTTCTGTGGCCGGCTATCTGCATCTGTTGGTTGTGCCTGAGCAGTATAAGATGGCAGGAGCTGGGGGAGCATGATGTGCTGGGTGGGCCCTAGTACTGTGCCTAGGATGGTCCCATGAGGCTGATGGTCACATCTGAAGGTTAGACGCTGCAGGGATACTTGTCAGTACCTGGGGAAGACGCTCCAGGGTTCTCAGCAGAACCAACAGCAGGAGAGCCCAGGCTGAAGGAAAGCAGTTTTAATTAACCGTTTTTAATATCATTTTTGGACCTTGGCTGGTATGTGAAGGCCCCGCTGGAAGCAGCATTTGTAAAAATTAAATCCCTCTTATTAGGAGCTTGGCAGACCCATGTGCATGCGCCGCCCCCTCCCCCTCCCTGAGGAAGTGCTGGATGAGGCCATGTCACGGCAGCAATTGGTTATCACGCCTTATCTGGGAATATGAAACTGTGCAGCATGACACCCGCAGCCGCAGCGGAGATGCCAATTCATCTCGACCTCGCTCTGACAAGCTAGACTGCCCTTCCTGAAAGGCATCCGTCAGGCAGGACCAGGTTGCCGCCTTGCCTGGCACTTCCGCTTTTCTGCCAGGGGCCCAGCTTTCCCTGGCCCAGCCAGGCCCTCCTGGGCTCTTCTGTCCTTTGTCCCCCTTCTGCACATCCCAGTCTGTGGAAGATCTTGGGGAGTCATAATTATAATAATAATCTAATCATGATGACGTGGCGGGGCAAGCATCTAATGTTATCTGAAGTGGTCTTCCCACTTAGCTGCGATAAGACTCAGGATGACGTGCAGATAACGTTGAGCTGCCCTGTCCCTGAGCCACGAGCAGAGCGGAGGGGCCTCAGCAGCCCTGCCGCCCGCCCGCCGCTTTAAGCTGGGAAGCGGCAGCACCTGCTAATGCAAGTGTTTAATATTTGATGGGCTGGGATAAAGCAGGATCACCTTCGAATTGAATTGAGTGTCAGCCGAGAATCTATTACTGAAATTCGGGTGTGATTTGACAGCAAAGTAGACGATGTTATTCTTCACTAGTTACTGCAATCTTCTCCTCGACATCACTTAAATATTTTTTTCTTTGCTTGAGTAAACACATATTATCCTTCTTTTTTCCCCCTTCCTTCCCTTTTTCCTTTTTAGAGGGGAAAAAAAAAACCCATCCAGCTCGCCTTCTCTAGGCTGATAGAGTAGATTGTTATTTCTTTATTTGTCCTATTAAATGGAATTTCTGATCGTTTAATCCGGCCTTTGTAAGTGATTTTAAAGTACTTGAAAGGCAGCCGCCACTGCTCTCTGGCCCACTGCGCTCCAGCCTCAGCCCTGACCAGGCTCAGCGGTTCCTCCAGCTGTGCACCGCCCACTGGCTGCTTCCCTCACTGCCTCCGTCCCAGCTCTCCCCTGGCTCTGGGCCAGCGTCTTCTTCTCTGTCCTTGAGCCTCACACTCAGCTCCTGATTTGTGGGTTCAGCTGTGGCCTGGGAAAGGATAGGAGGAGGCTGGCTGGGAAGTTGGGCTGTGGCTGGTACCTCTGCAGTCAAGGAGAATGACTTCAGAGGGTGCTAAGGTTTAAGTACACTCGCCTAGCTTCCTAGTACCTACGGGGCTGGTGTGTTGGTTCCTATAGCTGGGAAGGCAGGGTGGACACAGAATCCCTGGGCCCTGGCACAGACTCTGTGTGTAGCCTCCCATCTTGTGTTTCTGACCCTGTGCTGGGCCCTCTCCACTCTGTGTTAGTGGAATGGAAATCTCCTGGGCCTAGCAAAGGGCTGGACCACTGCAGTGCCCATATACTCACAGCTGGCAGTCACTTTGGTTCCATCACTGGACCCCCCATCCAACTTCTGGAAAATCACCCAAGCTTCATTCTAACTGACTACTGTCCTGTACGCTGTCCTGCTACCAGTAGAAGGGCAGCCTGGTGTCCGGGGACTTCCAACATGAGAGGATGGGTAATGATTGAAGGCCCAACTAGCTACCAGGCCTACAGGAGAAGCCCAAGATTTGGTTAACAGGCTGAGCAGGAATTAAATCCTATCCGGCTACTTCATCGTGATCTAACCTGTGTTAAGTCTCTTCTTTCTGGGCCTCAGTTTCCTCATCTGTGGTGTCAGGTCAGTCATGGCTAAAAGGGACTGTAAGGGAAGGTGCTGCCCCTGCGCTGCTATGTGTTCCCGCCAGGTGGAGGTTGCTGGCAGCCAGGTGGCGAGTGAAGGGGATGGAGGGGGGGCAATGTAGTGCTGGGGCCTGAGCAGATCGATGCCCCCAGCACTTCCTTCCCCAACCCCAGGAAAACAATTAAGTACAGATCGATGGGTGGCCGCTTTGAATATGCATAAGTGAGCACTTGACCTTCAGCAGAGCATCTGCTCCCCCTGACACACACACACACACACACACACACACGCACGCCCATGTATTCCCCTCTCAGCTGCTTGAGTTGACCATGTGACCTTACTCCTCTACTCAGTTGAGCCCCCACAAAGCTTCCAGAACCTTCCATAGCCTGGCCTGCTTGTGGTTATGGCACCTTGCTGGCCAGCTCTTGCTTCAACATTTCTGTCTGTGGAGTACAGTTGGGATGTGCTGGTCTCCAAAGCCCTGCCTGAGGCCAGTCTTTGTGAACAGTAATACTGTGAGGAGGGGGCCCAGGAAAGTGCTGGGGGCTCTGGAAAGGAAGGATCCTAAGGAGAGGGGCATGGTGCAGCAGTGCCCTGGTGAGAGGAGGGCTCCTGAGCAGGAGGAGCCTAGTGAACGGGAACTCCTTAGAGAGGACTCTTGGTGAGAGGCACCCAGTGCGGGCCAGGGACTCAGATGGGGAGAAGCCCAGGAGAAGGGGGACTCTAGAGAAGGAAGGGACTTTCTTTTGGGTCGGGGGAGGACCTGGGTGGAGAGGGGACTCTCATGAGATGGCATTATGAGAGGGATTCCTTGTTGGAAAGATTTGGGAGGTGGGGGGAAGACCTTGTGAGTGGGGTTGGTTCAGGGGGTCAGGGCCTTCGTTAACCACTTGCCTCCTGTTTTCCAGGCTTACAGCTTCGCCATGGGCTGCTGGCCCAAGAATGGACTTCTAGACATGAACAAGGGCCTCAGCCTGCAACACATAGGCCGGCCCCACAGCGGCATTGGTCAGTCCCTTCGCATATTCCCCCGGCAGCTCCATCCATCGTCCCTGCCTGCATGCCCCAGTCCCCAGGCACACAGAGGGTTTCCATGGCTCATTGAGTGCCCCAACAGGGCTCTCTACATAGTTGGGGGATGGCGGAAAGAGGGTGGAATGAGAAAATTACTGAATGGGATCACTGGAAAGACCACTCAAAATGATATTTCAGAGGAGGCTGGGGTCTGGGCTTTCAGTGAGTCACAGGTGGCCTTGGACTCAGGCCAGGGTCCCCCCTCACTGGCTGCATATCTGGTGATCAGTGTCCTCAGGGGGTGGGGACATGTCAGCTTACCCACCCCCCATGGAGCTGGAGGAGGCTGTTTAATATTGTTTCAAGTCTGTGGCCACTAAACTGGACGATCAATGGGAGTTAAGGAGATGAATTATTTAAACCTCACCAGCTTTTAATTAGTCGGGGTCCTTCTGACCGATGACTCCGTCCACAGGGTATTGACTCCCCTGCAGGAGCAGCAGCCTCCATTGAGCGGTGCCTGGGTTGAGGGGGACCACTTGGGGTACCAAATGGGGGTACACCCTCAGGTAGATTCATGTTTGGAAGGAACCTGGAGTGGCTATGATTCCAGGCAGTTGGAGGCTCTGTTAGTTTCTGATCTATCAGTATGAATATATATCTCTCTGTGAGTATCTGTGTGTCTGCATATGTGTGACACCTTTAACTATATGTCTCTGTGTCATACTGAGAGTATAATGTGTCCATGATTATACATGTCTGTTGGGGGGCGTGTAACAGTATATCTGTATTTTTCTGAGGTCATGAGTCTGTGTGGAAGCAGCTACAGCCTGTGTACGTATCTGTCAGGTGTGTCTGTTTAGTTCTGTATATCTTATTTTGTTTGCATATGCTCATGTGTGCATGCAGATGCTCTCAAGTGGGGCACTTGACCAGGCGTAGGCCTTGTTCCAAGTGAGCAGGAGCCAGAGTGTCTCTGGGCGGTGCTCTGACATTACCACAACTTGTGAACCTTTGGGGATGCATCGTTGTGGGGAGGGACTAGAGAGATACACCAGGACCAAAGGACCCAGTCACCTTCAGAGTGGCCCCTTTATCCATTCCAGACATTCACTGGTGCCTTGTGGATGCTGGGCACACTGAGTAGAAGTTTCTGTTCTCAGTGAGCTCACATCCTGGGAAGAGACAGGGACTGAAGTAGGTGCTTGCCACCCAGGGTACTAAGGGCTGTGATAGAAAACACCTGGGTTGCCCCAAAGGTGGTTTTCCCTCTCCTCAGTTGCCGAGTAGCTTCTACTTCTTCAGTTACCTCTCACTAAGAGGTAGTGATATGGGGGCATCTCAATCCAAGAGGGATGCCACCATATTCTTGTTGGGACATCTCAAGGGTGTCTCGGGTCCAGGGGAAAGAGGAAGTGACCACTGGCCTGGGGAACTGGGGGTACTCCACCATAACTGCTGTTTCCTCTCCTAGATGTTTTCCAAACAATCTAGAGAAGACGCCAGACCCAGCAGCGTCAGCAGGAAGTTTCCTAGAGAAGAGGACACTTGAATTGGGATTTTTGAAAGATGAATGGGAGTTTGCTAGGCAGAAAAATGGGGGAAGGATATTTTAGATAAGAGGACTAAGTAGAAAGTCCTGTGGGCATGAGAAAACCCAGTGTGCTGAGTACAAGTTCAGACACCTACAAGAAGCTGCCCATCACTGGAGTGGAAAATTTGGGTTAGGAAACAGCTAGAAAAGAAACAGAGACATAAGCAGGGCCTTGAATGCCTGGTTAAAAGGATGTGGACTTTTCCTGCAGTTTTGAGGAGACATAGGAGGTTTGTGAGTGAGAGAATGATGTGATCAAAGCTCTGATTCAGAATCAATGAGGCAGTTTGTATTGCACAAAACTAGTTCTTAGTAGGTGCTCAATAAATGCATACGGGTTGTTGAATGAACAAGTAGGTGAGTAAATGAATCAATGAAAGAGTGATGGGAAAGAGAGGAACCAAAGAGGACCAGTGAGAAGACTTGCTTTGGTCCAGGGAAGGAGGAACTGACTGGAGACTAGGGACAGCAGGACTGGGTTAATGCACCCTACATGTACTTGATCTGGGTGCCCCTTCTATCATCTGTCCCAGGATGTGTTTGTGAGCAGAAGGGGTTCCTTGTTCTCACTCTTTGTGCTTCTTGAGACTCAGCAGTGACCCTGTTGTCTGTTCACCTGTTGACCCTAGGTTAGGACCTCTGAGGTATCACCTCCTTTTTCAGAGAATATTTATACGGGTGGGCCCCATGGGGCAGCCCAAGGCTCTGAGTGATAGTGGAGCAAGGGCTTTGGAGCCAGAAGTAATTCTGGTTCTTCCACCCAGAACCCTGCAACCTTGGGTGAAGGACAGTGCCACCTGCCTCTCTGGGCTGTTGGGAAGGCTCAGTGAGTCCCCTGTGGAAAATGTTCATGCAGTGCTGGGCACACCATGGGGCCGAAGGGGCTCCCTCCTCCATTGCCAGCAACACGGGCTCACCAGGGCACTGGGCTTCTTGACACTTGGTCTTTGTAGTCTTTGAATGAAGAGGGCTGCCCTGCCATCTCCAGGCTGGCTCTGAGGTGTGGGTGAGGGTGCTTGGAAGGGAGGGAGGATGCAGGGCATTAATTGGGCTGGGAGAGGCGGGGAGGGGAGGCGTGGGTTTTGAACAGTGAGGTTAATGGCCCTCGCACCAAAGAGGCAGCTTTAATGAGCTTCAGCTGGCGGTGCCCCGAGTTACTGTGCGTGCTAAAAGGGTCGCGCTGTAAGAGTTTGATGTGGACTGCTTTCCAGCCCTGGGGGTCAGAGGTCAGCTCCTGTCACTGGCCACTCAGGCTGGTCCTTAGTGACATGGTGCTAATTAACTGTGTGAGGAGCTGCCAGCCTGGAGTGGGGAGTGGTATGTGTATTGGTTGAGGGGGGTGAGGCAGCATTGGGTGCTGCCAGGCAAGAGTGCTGCAGATCCCACAGCTGACCATGTCCAGGGCCTGCTCAGTTCTCCTGCAGTGCCATAGGGATGTGGCATGGGTGGTGTGGTGGTGCTGAGAGAGCATGGAGGCAGGCTTGGGGTGACAGGGTTATGTGTGGGAAAGCTGTAGGAATGTTTCGGACAGGGGAGTTATGTGGTCAGTGTTGGCTTCAGTCAGAGGAGGCTCATAGTTTGTAGGGGAAGGACTCGTGAGGAGAGACTAGACAGGGAGACTGAAGGGGAGGGACAGCAAGGTAAGCAAGAGGGTGTCGGCTGTGGAAATAGAGGCAGGGCACCGGGTAAAACTTCCTTTCATTCAGTACACACTACCTTGGACCTACCATATTATCAGGAGCCATGGTAGGTGCTAGAAATGTATTGGTAACAATGGCAGACAGGGTGCTCTGCCCCCACACAGTTCACAAGTGGGCTTGGCCCTGGGGACTGAGAGTGAAGTCGGGTTTAGGGATGGCCAAAGAGGGTCCGGAGGTGGTGGAGCACTGGCAGAAAGGCTGCTGGAGGCTTGTCAGCGTGACATCATTGGGGAGGCCTTGGGAGCCTGGTGAACAGCATGGTGCTGGAGCAGGTTGTGGCGAATACGGCCTGCATGGTCTCCGTCAGCATCCTTGGTTTGGACCACAGGCTCTGAGGCAGGGCAGCCTCCACAGGGGACTGCTGAATGGTCCTTCCTTCATTTCAGCAAAGGGGCATCAAACACTCACATTATTTGGGGACACTTTATATTAACTAATTCAGTTTTCACAACAGTCTTATGAAGGCAGGCATCATCATTCCCATTTTATAGATTAAGAAACTGAGGATCAGTTAAGTGATGTGCCTAAGGTCATACAGCCAGTTAAGTTGAGGAGCCAGGATTGAAACCCAAGCCCATCTGAGTACAGAACCTGTGGGGGGTTTTTTTGTTTTTTTGTTTGAGATGGAGTCTTGCTCTGTTGCCCAGGCTGGGGTGCAGTGGTGTGATCCCGAGAGCTTGTGTTCTTATCACTGCTGAACTGTGAAGCACTCTTTTGGTATTGGGCTTTGCACTACCAACAGAGACGATGTGGAAGAAAACAAGCTTGCTTCCCTCATTTCCCTCAGTGTCACGTGAAACGTGTAGGCCTTAACAGAGCTTCAGTAGCAGCAGCTGAGGAAGAAAGCAAGGGCAGCATCACCACTCCCCGTCTGCTGCTACTGTTGGCATCTGACCTCCTTCTGGCCCTGATGGTTCTTTGTGATTTCAGTTCTCTCCCTACCTCACGGCCCAGGAAAATTCTGCTAATCTTCCAGGGGCCACCTCCTCTGGGAATCTTGCCTGGCCCTCCCAGTATGAGTGTTCAAAATACATACTTGGGCCCTGTTATAATTTGTCAGAGGTAATGATCTGGCCCTGTGTACTTGGGTTCTCTAAGGGCAGGGCCTGGGCCTCCTTCTTTCGTTTTGGAAATCTGCACAGGAAATGTCAGTAAAATCTCACCTGCTGTTGTAAGTTGGAGGCCCCACAGATTACTGCTGGTTTCAGCTGGCTAGGAGAGTAACTGGAACCTTCCCTGATGCCCGGCTGGGTGGTCCTGCCCTAGGAACTTGGCCACTCGCTCTGGGATGGAGGAAGATCCCACTGAGGCATGTGGTACAGGTGGCATGGCCAGAGACCAAGTGGACTCTCAGGAGCTTGCTACCCAAAACTGTTTGGCAAGAGAGCTGGGCTGGCAGGTGGCAGGGTGGGGGCCTGGCCCCCAGGGGGGCAGTGCTAGCCTGTGGTCTCCCCTGAAGGAGTGGGGTGTCTATCAAGAGTCCAGTCAGAACGCATTAGCTCTGTGACACGGATCTCATTAGCGCCCGTGAGAGGTGTCACTGCGGGAGAATCGTCGGCTCAGGGAGACGCTTGTACCAAAAGGAAGAAAGGACAGTGACAGCCTTTTCTCTGCCGCCTCTGCCGCCACGCTCACTGGGCTGCCCGCCCTCCTCCTCGTTGGGGGGGGGTTGTGGGGGTGCTGGCTAATGAGCTCGTCTG